AAGAGCACTCTGAGGACTGTCAAGGCACCCAGAGGGAGAAAGGAAGGATAATGTGACATAAATATAATGGAACCATTGATTAAGGAAATTAACTTTCTACACAGTGCAGTGGCACTTTAAGCTCTGGATGTATTTCAGTTGTGAGCACAGCAAGCCTGGAGAACCTGCCTTGGAAGGTGCAATGCTTTTCCACTTAAGAGTTTACTATCTGTTTGGAGAAATCTAGTTCCCCAGTTGGACAGGTTGAAGCATGGAACTAAGGAAGGAATAGACTGCAGGAATAGGCACATAAGAGATAGATGCAAGACAGTATAGGTTTTGCCTGAACACAGTTGGGTTCACAAAGTCTCTAGAATTGAACAGTGAGAGGAGTGAACAGCACATGCTGGACTGACTTACCGAAAGGAAAGCGTGGACAATGTCAGCCTTGATGGAGCTTAGCGGTTTGTCCTTAATGACCACAAAGATCTGTTCTTCTTTTTCTAGGTTGATGAAGTTACCAAACCAGGATTTTTTGGCAAGCCTGACAGGAACAGAAAAGAAAAAAAGAAACCAAAAGAAGGAAGCTTTAAAATAGATAAGCACAATTTCATGGGCACCTGGCACTTGGACAAACAACATAGGGAACTGTGTGTACTGATTCAAAGGTGACGCTGCTACGTTGAGTGGCTGGCATGATATAACCTGAAGCGTCAGAGAACACTGCTTTAACTCAGAAAAAAGCCACCAAACTATGGATTGCACGGTTTTGCTAGAGCAGCATATGTGATCAGCAGTAGAAAACTAGGAGCGAGTGTAGCAGTTTTAACTGTTTTAACACACCAGTCGGTCCTGTCTTTGGTACAGGATGCCTTCAATCTGTGTGCAGGTCTCAAAAATCCCTGCGAGGCTCTCTCTGTTTCTTGTGCCTCTTTGTGGATACTGCTATCACTGGCAACCTGGAATTTGGGGGTCACTCCAACCCAGTTTCAACCTACTTGGTTTTTCAGGAGTTGTACTGCTCCTTCCCTGAAGATGTTGCCCTTTGCTGATGGTATGTATCAAATATACATCCTTCTTTCAAGTAAACTGTGCCTCTCACTGTCAGTGGGCAGAATATAGCCAGCAAGAGGACTAGACCTTACTATAAGTGCCACCTAGGAAATCTAAGCAAGACATGGTCCTTGTGTTAACCACTGCGCCGCTGCCCGCCCCCACCCCGGGAATTTCTTGCAGCATCAAGCCACACACATGCACAAAACACCATTCAGGAATTTAAAAGTCAGTGACATCCTCCCCACCCCTACTGTTACATGTGTCAGGGTTTTTTTAAGCTTTCCTCAGAGGCACTGGGTGTTGGCTGCAGCCACAGCTGGGGATTTTGACTAGGTGTGCCAATGCTCCTTCTGGGATTTAAACCTGGAGGTTCCTGGTTAGAGGGTCTTGCTCCTCCACACAGGGTCAGACCAATCACCATACTTGGTGTTAGGAAGGAATTTCACCCCATGGTCAGACTGGTATGGACTGTGGAGGCTTTTGCTTTCCTTTGTAGTGGGGGGCATGGCCCTCTTCCTGGGATGTCTTGAGCATATATCAACATCCTTTCCAGCAGTAGGATGTTGGCCACCGTGGTCCCCCTGCTATACCTGTGACAGGCTAGGATGTTATGTCTTGTGTTGTGCCAGGGTTGGCTGTAGTTTTGTTAAGCAGTTAGACAGCTGATTTGTACAGAATGGTTTGGACAGGGATGATCCTGCCTCAGGCAGGGGGTTGAACTTGATGACCTCCAGATGTCCCTTCCAGCCCTACTTCTCTATGACTCTATGACCAATCCCCAGTGCTCCATCAAGTATTCAGTCCATCAAAAATGAAATTATTTTGTTGTCTCCACACTGGCACTTTCACCAAATGTTTGTTTCCCTCCATGTGGTTCCACCAAGGCCATTTTTTTAGCATTCATTGATAAAATAAAAGGTCCTATGGGAAAACTGTATGGCCATGCACACCAATGGGAAGTTACTAGAGGCTTGAGGGTAATTTATGACCCTTATGGAAAATTAGGGGGGCAGAGAGAAGACACTTGCAGCTGTAGCATGCAACCACAGAACTACTGGTCAAATTAACCCTAAGGGATACTCCACTGAAATCAGACAAGCTGTGCCAGGGATGCATTTATTTCATTTATTAGAGATGGAAAGACCTGCCACTTAGTTCACCTTCCTAAGAATGCAAGATTATAACCTGCAGAGTATTTTACAGCACTGGGTCAAGTCTGATTTGCAGTGCATAAAGGTTCTCCTGCTTCTTGTGGGATGCTGCTTCACAACTTAATAGAAGAAAGAGACGCTCCAGGCTACATTTTTGCAGTAAAGGAAGACCATCTGGAGCAGAAATTATTACTGTTCAAAATTCCAACAAAGCGGCATGCAGCCGAAAAAAGATGTGAGCAGGATCTGCTTCACAGAGTAGATAGAGCTGGTTAGACTGAAGGTCCTTGAGGACAGACTGGGGTTCAGGGGGGAGAGAGGAGCAAACTGGAAAGCTCATTTGGACTCCTGACCTCTGGGAGGGAGAACAAAGCTTGTTTTCAGTTTAGCTGGCCTCAGTGCTGACTTGTGGATAGCTCCATGCATCTCAGTACCATCACCTTGTTGCTCATTTAATCCACACAGAGGAAGAACAGAGCTGGAAGATGGCTCAGTGTTAATAAGCTTCTGTTTCCATCTACCCCAAGCGACCAACAGCACAGCGCAAAAGGATACACTTGCAGTTCGGTAAATCACCACTCCCCTCAATTAAAGGAAGCTAGAAAACCATAACTCCCTAAAATATTCATAGGCAGCTGTAACTAAGCCAGTGAGCCAAAGATTAGCATAGGGAGTAGCAAAGAGAAAGGGCCTCTCATTTAAATGGGTCGTTAAGGAGCCAGGGTTAGAGTATGAAAGGAAATTACATACTAATTAGCTCATGTGTCTCACACACACCATAACAACTCTGGAGGCCCCGGGAGAGCTGGGGAAACCGCTCCCTGCATGTTCAGGGCCTTTGCTCATTAGCTGATTTGCACCTGGTTATCCATCTAAACTGTCTGGTTGTCCTAGGCCAATATCTATCTTAAACTGAACTGGGAATTGGCTGTACTGACTGCTGGGACCTAGTGTCTCTCTCACGTATGCTCCTTGCAACCTGGGGTTCGCCAAGATGCGAATATTTAAACATGGCTCTGCAGTCTGAAATTGCCTTTTATTTTATTTTTTTTTAAATGACATTGTGAGTCCCTGTATTTATTGGCCCCTTTAATGACTGAAGGTCAAAAGGGCCCAGTTTATAAGGAAAGTAACGAGGTTTTCTCCTGCCAGCTCTGCAAACTCAGCCTGGGACCTCAGAGTCCAGATGGGTACTTTTCTTCTGATGCATTACTGCTGGTAATAAAGGCTTAACAGACCAGTTTAGGACCTCAGTGATACCTGTGTCACCCTCCTGCCTCCAGTTTTGCTAATGATATACAAGATGGCATAGACTTCAATTAAACTTTCTGGATCTGCACTGGCTGTGCATGAGGCTTTCAACTCTTCCCTTTTTATGCTTGCCTCCTACTCTCTCTTGTCTCCTGGTAACAAACTCCCTCCTCCTGATTCTCTTCAGCTCTCTTGGCTTTCCCATACTGCTTTTTTCCTAGAAAAACCTCTCAGGAGCTGTTTGAGCAGCAGGAAGATGGGAGGCATGTTGCCCCCATGACAGCCAGTCCTTTCAGCCCTCATAAGATAGGACAGTACATGGTTAAGAATGACTACCTTGTGGACATTGTCCCATTGGGTGGGGTCTCTTTTTCACTGAAACACAGGAGAAGCATGAAGTATGTAGTCTAGTACCTCATCCTCCAGTTGGCTCAGAAGTGGACAAACCTCCACCACTGACCTCCAGGGTAGGGAATCTCTCTTTCCTTTTAGTCACACTGACAATTTTCACTGCTGACCTGGTTTTGCATGGCTCCCTCCTGGTTTTCTCTTGCTCTGAAGGGCAGCAGCAGTTTGGGACTGGCCTGTGCCAAGACCTGACTGCAATATCCTTTCTGCAGGGCAGATTTGGGGTGAAGAAGTGAAAAAAATGTTCTGCACATTCCCTACTCACCCTAGGATCTGGGGAATCAGACAGAAGTGAAAGAGCGACTTACATGTCCCTTTACTTCCCCACATAGATCCCTGTGTCTAAGTCATAATTTTGCTTTAAGTAGGTAAAAGAGACAAAGGATGGGAGGAAGAAAGTATTCTTATCCCCAAAGCACAGGGGAAGACAATGATGCATACGAGGATTAACTGACTCATCCAGGGACTCATACAGGGAGTCTGGCAGAGCAGAGAATCAAACCTAGGCCTCTCAAGACTCAGTCTGAATCTCAAACACATCAGTATGTATGTCCAGTCCATGTTGTCCTTTCTAATCCCCGTTACTTTGCACTGGTTAACACTGAATTCCAGCTACTAACATGTTGCTCATTCTTTCCATTTTAAATGGCCATAGGTCCTTCTGGATAGCCTCACAATCCTGCCTAGTCCTCACTCATCTTCCTCATTTGCCAGCTTCAATAAGGTTTGCTACCACAAGGCTCACTCCTCTTCCTTCTGGATGGCATCAGTTTTTGAAGAAGCTGACAAGAGATGATGCATCACCTGCAGAAGGGCTGACTGACTCTGGGAGGGAAGAGTGATGGCCTGAGGAGCCCAAGACCACCTACCAGTGGGAGGAAGAGACACTGGGCCAAAAACAAAGAAGAGTAAAAGAAAACAAAGGAAGTGCATGGTGAGAAGATGCAAGAGGAGGAGGGGGGAATGGAATGAAAGGGGTGGAGAAGAGGAGAGCCAAAAGCAGAAAGGTGTGAGGGCTGGGAGCACAACCACTTCTGGCCTCAAATAAAGAAACAGGCATGCAGCAAAGGCATCCTCCTTGAAAGAGGCAGCCACTGTCCAGCCATGGAAGAGAAGGAAAGGGGTATTTTGGGGAGTGAAGAGAAAGGATGGGATGTCCCTGACAGATGAAACAATACCCATCTCTTATAGCAAGGGTGTCAAACTCACATTGTACCCCAGGCTAGATCTTGGCCTGCAGGGCCCCAGATCCAGCCTGGGGCATGAGGAAGCCATGGTGGCAAGGGCAGCTCTGACTCTGACCTGAGCGTGAAGCAGCAGCTCCAGTCCCTGCCCCATGTCCCACGCTGAAGCCAGAGCTGTTGTGGCTGCATGCCGCATGCCTCTGTACCAGCTCCAGCTCCAGCACTGGATATGCAGTAGGGACCGGCAGCTGGGAGGTAGGGCTGCAGTAGTGGTGACAAGTGAAGCAGCTGGAGGGCGACCAGAACTATATCAAGCCCTTGCTGACCCTTCTGCGGCTGCTCACCACATCCATTGGGGCCCAAGGGTCTCAGGTTCTGTATCAGGCCGCTCTTTCCCAGCCACATCCAGTGGTCCACTGGTACTCTGGCTCGCCGTAAGTTTGAGGCTTCTGCCTTACAGAAAAGACTTGCAAAAGGATCTAATCATTAGGGATAACCTTTTCAGAGTGTTTTTTCCTTTTGAATAATCATGAAGAAGTTCACAGAGAATTTTATTCCTGGCAAAAAAGTTCCAAAGCTCTACTTTCTCCCATAAATTCTCAAGCACCCTGCGGGCCAGCTCCTCACTTAGACTTAGACTCAGCATGATATTAAAGTCCAAGTATCAGTGTGAGCCAGTGAGCAGTCCTGCTGATACAGAGGGGGCATCTCACATGTCTAATGTTCCACACATGCTGAAGTGCCTTGTCAAACTGGGGATCTCCGGCGTACCTAAGTGCAGCTCTATTCAGGCAAATGGTACAGTACTGCTTTATCCAAAAGAGAGAGAAGGTGGCCCTTTAGGACTCATTACTAAAAGATTCTCTGGGACGTTTTCATAAAAGAAAAAACAGCCATTACTTAGACATGCCAAGGTATATTACCTAATCATGGGGACTGTTAAATGAATGAAGATTGTTAAAAGATGTCATAAAGCAAAGCAGCACATTTTTTGAGGTCAATAGAGGTCCTGATGAGGCTATCTTGTTTCTTATGGGGGGAGGGGGAGGGGAAAGAAAAGAAATGTACAAGTGGGCACTGAGCAACAAGACATCTATTGTTCAAATCAAATCCAGTTCATTATTTTTTATGACTTTTATTATGTTTACTGTGGGGTGCAACCCAATTGAACTCATTAATTCGGCAATTATACAGAACAGGGAAAAAGGGCCTTAGGCCTTGACTTGCATCCAAACTGCCTCAAATGACAGGCTCCAGCTCTCTGCACCAGCTCTTAAAAGAGGGGAATGGAGTGAAGAAGGCAATCAATTCAGAGAGGAGCTTCCACTGACACACGTAAATGAGAAAGAAAGGAAGGATTTCACTCACAGGCCTTTTATGCTTTTACACACAACAGAACATTTGAGGTAAGCCCATCATTTCTTTCTTTCCTGCAAATCTGTCCTCTTTATGAAGTTCCCTTATGCTTCCTCACAGCGGTAAACATGCCCATGTTTTAAATACACAGTGTACTTATTTTCCCTTCTGGATTTCTCCCTGACTCCTCACCCTGCTCCTTGGTGTAGCCTCGAAAATGGGCAGCCCATCTTTCACACTACAAATCCCTGGGATGAGGAAACCTGTTTAGGCAAAGGCACTCTCTCCAATTAGAAATCTTTGGAACCAAAATCTTCATCTAGGGCTCATGAATATTTCACGCACGTGGCTAGACAGAGAGCCAAATCGCCTTGGTTGGCAGGGAAATTCTATGGGCATCGGGTGCACAAACACAAGCTGTGAAAATAAAAAGGAATAATTTGGCGTCTGGTGCACGTATGAGGGAACGTTTGGAGCAGCGTTCTCCAGCAGGGCCTTCCAAATGCATTGTGCAGCAACGCACATTTGTGCAGCAAAATTGTTTCAATTGTGCACCGATGTTTAGCGATGTGCATGGTGAATATGAAACAGCTGCCAGAGCTCCTGGGGCTGCTGCCCAAACCAGTGCTGCATTTGCTACCACTGCCAATGACTTTTCTGTACTGCTTCAGGAATGACTATTGAAACCTATGCCTAGGATACAAACGGTGCTACTCTAAGGTAAAGCTGTGACTGCATGGCCACAGCCAGGTATATGATATGGATCCTCCTACCAAGGAATGGTCTGTTGGAGAAACACAGGACGAGAGAAAGAAGCAGGATGGTGTCTCAAAATGGGCAAAGTCAGTGTCCCAAAGAAAGCAAGATGGCTATTTGAAGCATGATCTAGCTCCTGCTGACATCATCAGGCATTAGTCTGTATCTATGAGCCACAGCAGAAGAGCAGCTTCACCCTCCGAGTGCATGCACAAGTGACTGGCTGTATTCACAGCATCTTTTGAGTCTTGGAACACTGTGCAGGTGTACTGCAATAGGCAGCAGGCACAGGAAGAAAATGCATGGGTGGCAAGGTAAGCAGTGTATTAATGAATTACTTACTCTGGGGAAGATTCTGGGGTTAAATTGGACATCTCCTCCGGTGTAGGTACTGCATGCACATACACAGCCAAAGAGAGGGAGGGAGAAAAAGGACATGGTGAATAAGCAGACCCTTCTCTTCCTACTTCTGTACCAATGAAATCATCTTTGCACCACACTCCCCATGCATCTCTCTCTTGTAAATAGTGAGCAAATCCAATAGTCTCAACATAGGCCTTCTGTCTCTAGATCCCTGCACTGATTCTCCTTTAATTTAGTGATGCACTTGGGGTCTGACCCAGAGATCACTGAGGTCAAAGGGATGTTTAAGTGGCTCCAGTGGCTCTGGGTCAGGTTATTCCTGTGGTCTCTGATCATCACTTTCCATTGTTCCCTGCCTTCTCCCGCCTTCCCCTTGCAATTAGCAAATAAATAAAAGCCCATGGCTAATTCTCACACTTTAATCAAGCTTTTTGTCCAGAGATTGTCCGTATCCATTGAAAATAGGGAGGTAAACCTTGTGAACTCTCCTAGGTGAAGACAAGGTATGAAAGCCCATCACATCAGCACCTCATCCCAAATCCAGCAGGCTCCAGCCAGAGGCTCAGGCTGGTGCCTAAGTCAGGTCATGATGTCCAGTCCTTCTCTGGATGGATCCACCACCATGGATACAGAGACTCTGACAATCAGGGCCTATGCCTCAGCTCTTCCACACTAGAACTCAGGTAGTCCTCCTCCCGTGAAGGACTCAAACCCACACCTTAGCTATACAACCATAAGCAATCAGATTAGATTCTCAGAGCATCTGGGGTTATCCAGGTGACTTCAGGTGTCCTATGCCAGACAGGAAATAGCCACCTGGGTCCTGTACAAATAAACTTGTCCCTCTCAGGACTCCAGGGTCTCCAGCAATGGAAACACCCCACACAGACCTGGAAGTGCTGATTATATTCAGGGGAAGTTTATACTGAATGTACAAGGGAAAGAAAGAGTTAAACAGGATTATAAAATGAGCTGCACCATGGGTAGACAATCTCACTCTGTTCTCATCAACTGAGCACCTGGCTTGGGAAATAACAAGGCCCATTCTAGCAAAGGTGCTGCAGATCAGGGCTAAAGGTCAAATTTAGCCAAGCTGTAGGAAGAATTGAGGAGCATGAGGAAGCACGTAGACCTGATAAGGGTCTACAGGATGGGGATAGCAGGAAACATTGCAAGTCCTAACTCAAGTATACTGGCAGAGATGTGTGGGGACTCGGGGGATGCTTCAGGCTGAGATCATAGTTCAGGAGCAGAGCTGTGCTGTTGGAATTCGTACAGAGCCTGCTCCTACTTTTCTGGGACTGGCAACGACCAGAGCTACTACTCTCTTGTTCTGTCAGCACTAACAGGCATATCTCAGCAAATGAGATTAACATGGTCACTCCGAGGTATGAGAATGCCCGTGGGTGTTTGGACAATGGACTCACCTTGCAGTTTCCGGCGATGGAAGCGAGGAGACCCCAGGAAGCTGTTCTTGATGGAGTTGAGTCGTGTCCTCCAGGGCATTCCTCCAATGCTGGGGCTGGATGGTGGCGTTGGGTTGGGTGTACCTGCTGGGCTCTCCTTTGGCGTATGGACAGGTGTCCCCTTGGGGGTAGGGAGGGGACTTCCCCTTGGAGAGGGGTGAGGGGTGACCTGTATGATGGGGATAGATTTGGTGCTTGGGTCAGTACTAGAAGGGAGTAATCTAACAGGAGACATAGGGTTGGTCTGCACTGTAGGAACGGCCAGCTGTGGGTTAAAGCCGATGGCAGGCGGGCGACTTGGAGTGTTCTGCACAGGGGGATTCTGGGAAGAGGGGGGGTTGGCATTGCTAGTAGGGAGTGGGTTGGATTTGGTAGACTGGAGCGGTTTTTCAGCCAATTTGCTCTTGGATGGCAAAGTCTGCGTCTTTGGGTTGGGCTGCAGTGCTGGCTTTGGTTGGAGAACATGTCCAGGCCTGGAGGCGTTCCTACAAGCATCGGGTTCCAAGGAGACTTGGGGTCGGGGGGAGAAAGGGAGGTCAGGGTTTTGCGGAGGGATGAAAAACTTTCTGATAGGCTACAAAGACAGACGCAGTGTGTCCATGCACATTGAGAGCAGTGAGACACCCACACGGCGGGTGAGCAGACAAAGGAAAGTCAGAATAAAATCCATTCGAGGCACAAAGAGGCAGCATGGCACAAGGAGATGGGACAGATGGAGGTGAAGGGGTGGTGGGAGGGGGTTTGCAAAGAAACAAAAAACAAACAAACACACACAAAACAAAACAAAAAAAAACATGCAGTTAGCTGGGAACGCAGCATAATCAACAACAGCGGCGGCGGCGGCAGCAGCAAGAACAACAGTGTCATAGCAGGCGTTATTATATTAACCAACCATATGTCAGCCAAGGAAAACCACAGAGAGCAAAGGAACACAAATTAAAAGAAAAAAAAGGGGGGGGGGGGAGGAAAATTAAAATAACCAAGAAAAAAGCAGAGAGAGACGCCACTTCCCTGGGAGTGCTCTGAGTGCCCCGTGGTGAGGGAAGCACAAGGTGAGGAAGGGGGAAAAAGAGCCATTCCAACCATACAGAAACTGAGACGTGCTTAGATTGGGCATATATCCCGGAGCTCAGAGTGCCCATCATCGAGCCCAGGAGAGAGATGCAAGTCCAAAAGAAAAAAGGGCGCGAGGCGCATGTGAAGTAGCAGGAGTGGCACACAGATTACTGCAGGCACCAAACAGAACCTTTCCCTGCCTTTCCCCTTCCTTCCTCCCCTCACTCAAATTGGCACGTGGGCTCCAGACACCCATCAGTGAAAGACTGAAAAAAGGGAGAGCTTCATCCACCTTCCTCCCCTGGCCAGGTTGGCATAACCTGCTTGGCATTAGCAAGGAGAATATGAAGCACAGCAGGGAGGGTCAGGTCCTAATATTAACCAACCATGTGCTAATTTTGCACGTGGTTGGTCCTAATATTAACCAACCATGTGCAAAATTGGCTATGAAGTCCCAGTAGCACATTCTGGGCATGGTGGTGGTGACTGTCACAGAACATAGTTAAAAAGGGGCAAGCAAAATCTCATAATCCAGTTGTGAGTGATCAAGACAAGGGATCACGCCTCTTTTTTTTTTTGGGTGGAGGGAACATTCACACATGTTAGTTATATGGGTGTTCTGGGAAAGTAGTTTAAATGAGCTCAGCAAACAGCAATGCACAAACACAGGGAGTAAAAGTCTTTAAAAAAAGGACACTGGTGGTCTAAAATTCATGTATTTGAAACAAAACTATTTTCTTAGATGTTGCTAATAATGACAGGCATAGTATGTGCTGAAAACATTGTAAAAACTCACTCCTTTGGCTCTTTTATTTTTGACCCAGCACTCAGCTTCTCTGGGTCTCTAATGATTTTCATTCATATTGCTGTTAACACCTAAAGGCTCTAATTAAGAGTCGTACAGACATATGACCAGGCCCCAAGTTTTAGTGAGTGGACCAATGGTTTTCATGTCCTGGGTCTCATGGACTAGCACACGACTTCAATGTTTGAACAAATATGGAGGAATAGTTAAAGGCAAACAAACAAGACTGTTTGCATTGAGGCAGACTTACTCCAAAGACCCCTGAAAGCAATGGGAGGCTTTTTATTGACTTCAGTGGGCTTTAATTCAGGCCCTGAACACCAAAAGAAAACTACTACATTAAAACATTTCTATTAACCTTAAATGCCACAAATCTGTTTCAAAATTAGAACATCTGATCTTTTTTGATAAGCTCCAATTACCGCTGGGAACAGAAAGGCAAACAGATTAGGAATGTGGCTGGCTTGTGCAAGTCGCTAGCAGGAATCGGTCATTAACCGTTTGCAAACCATTCCAGTGGAAAAGCATGGGAATGTAATAATGAGAAAGATTCTCCTGCAATTTTTGCAGTTCATGCACCAGATAATGTTTGGCAGCTCAGGACTCAGACTTATTAAAAATCAAACCAAACCGCTCTCAGTTAAATCAGCATAAATTTGAAGTAAAGCCATTAATTTTACTGGGTTTACAGCTGTGTAACAAAAATACAATTTGGCCCATGCCTTATTGGTGCAACTAGGATACTAAAAGGTGCGCTAAGTTCCTGATCTTCTGGGATTCAAGCTCTTTCAACTACCGCTGAACTCAGCATCTCATGGAATTGTGCCCAATAGCATAAATACATGTTTTATTGTTAAATTACTTTCCTATTTGCAATAATCTTAATGGTGCCTATACATGTGTTACTTAGCATTCTAATTAGAATGCTAATTAATTACTCAATTAATTGAGTCTGCTCCACATTCTAATTACAATGCTCCAGCATTCCCACAGCGACAAGTGTATTAAGCCCCCAGGTTTCAAAATGGCTGCAGGGGCGCTTCACCTAAAGCTCATAGAATGAGCTTTAGTTAAAGTGCCCTCACGGCCATTTTGAAATGCTTAATACATGTGATGGTGAGCTGTTTTAATTAGAATGGCTCTCTGAGAACTGCTTTAATTAACATACCCCCAAGCATGTGTTTAGGTGCTAGTATAAGCATCACTTAGGCCTTTTTAAATTAAATGATTTTTTACCCCAAGTATGTCCCTGTAAGTCCAAAATGTACCCCACTTACAATAGTTATGGCCTGTTGAGAATGCCATCTGGGTGCAAAACAGCTTTTCAAAATTTTTTTAATCAAATGTGCCTAAGTATTAATCTTAAGGCATACTCACAATAGACCAGACACAGGAAATCTTATTCATGAAAGCATTTCTTATACAATCAAGCAGTCCCACTGAGGACAAGGGAAGCAAGTGCCCCTGGGAGAAAAGATTGCTTACATGATTTAGGTTGGCAGGACTGGCTGCCTATTTTTGTGCACAAAACTATTTTGGGGGCTCTTTTTCCATTTATTCCAGAGCAACAGTTAA